CTATTATTTGTGCTTCAAAAGCACAGATGCACTTTAAGTATAGTAATTGCAAGTCTACGGAGCCTGTCAGAATTTTGTTTGCATTTGTAGCACAAAAACCAAATGCATCTCTTTCACAAATAATCATAGTCAATAAACCCCTGAATCATGTGCATTCCAGGTGATTTCTGTTGGGATTATGTGCTCTTTGCTTGTGCTTGTGGGTGTAAATATGGCTGGGGGCAGAAATGATCATTTCCTCTTCCTACCCAACATTGGATAGTTGTGATAGAGATCTCCAGGGGAATTGTAGGGTAACCACAGCAAGGAAGGCATGGGTCAACATGTAGCCATTTGCTTTTTTTCTTCCTCTGGCACCTTTTTGGAGGCCTTGTACTCTCTGTAGCAAAAAAATAAAAAATACAGATCCTTTATTTGTAGTGAAAGCTCTTCTGGCTCGAGTCACCCCTTGGTTGTCACAGTGCCTTAACCCAGCAGCACCTTGATCCCAGGTATGATGTTAGGCTTTCTCTCCTGAAAATAAATTGCAAAGGTTTGATGTGGCACAAACCTGCACTGTCTGTACTTGGAGAGCCCTTGCAGTTGCAGAACAAATGGCAAAAATAGCACTGAGCATTGCTGGAGGCTGTCCTGCAGATCCCAGCAAAACAGCATTTGGCTTTGACACCATTCCTCTCTAAATGGATGAAGTGACAACAAACATCTTCAAAGCAGTTTGCTTTGAGTTCACTCCTTTCTGGTGAGTTTTAGGAGAGTGCCAAGAGGGGATATAGCTATCCACCTCTTGGGATTAATATGTTATATCACATCTGTCTGCCTAATGCAGAGGAATCTCTGGTAATGTAAAGTGCCTGACACTTCAAAGGCAGCCAGAAATCACCCGTCGAGATATTTATAGAGTCCTTCTATAGGGAAATGTCTTAATGTCTGCAGATCAGTAACTGCCTTAGATCTGAAGCAGGACAAGTAATTCTGTTTTTATTATCCATTCCAGTGCGTCATTAGTCCTTTTTTTTTTTTTTTTGGCTCTGATTGGTCACATGAAATGTGCAGGAAGGCACTACTTGTAGGTCAGTTGACTCAGTGCCACATATCAAAGAAAAGTGTAAGAGAAGGGGAGAGACAGACAAGAAGGGGAGAGCAAGATGTCTCAGCCTGGCCTCAGCACAGAGCTCCTTGGAGCTCAGTTTTGTCACTGAGCAGCGCCTGGGTGCCCAGACACAACCCAAGCAATCAGGGATTCTGGCATGCTGCTTTTCCAAACATATCCAGGTGGGAGCAGAGTCAGGCAGGGTTGAGTGACTGACATATTCAAAGCCTGTAGTACTCTGCTCCATGCTGGGGGAATGTTTTGGAAGTAGGAGACATTCACAGGGTTCTATCTTGTCAAACTGCTTCAGAGAACAGGGAGAATACGTAAAGACAAAACTGGGGGGTTTGACTATGGAATGGTCTATGCAGCACAAGGGGTGCTGGCATCAGATGGGACTCCCTTTATCTCAGTAAAGGGAGGAGACTTGCCTCAGGAACTAGGTGTGGGAATCCACAAAATCAGAGGGTTTTGGGAGAGCTGCAAAAGGCAGGCCTCAGAGACAGCAGAACTGTGATCAGAGCTAAGCAGAACTGTGGTCAGAGCTAAGCAGCAGCCGTGAGATTGGTCAGCAGAAAAATTATTTAAATTGTAGAAAAGCAAGAACAAATAGAACAATGGTCTGTGTATTAACGCTTGTCTAGAATAACTCTCTAAGATACAGAAAAGTTTATCTAGCAAGATATTAGGAAGTTTGAAGCTTAATAATGGAGGTCTGTGCATTGTGTTTTAAGGCTTACAAGCAGGTATTGTATTTGAAATAAGCAAGCATTGTTTTAACCAAAGGTGCCTGTGCTTATAGTGGTTGGATAGAACTACTGTCAATGTGCTTTTGCTTTGTGTGATTGGTCAAAAAACTTATAAAGTGAGTTGTAACATGAAGTTCTTTGTCTGCTGCCTGGGATGTGAGCTGGTGGCATTTTCCCATTATCATAACCATGGAATGAGAGTGATGCTGGAAAATAAAACAGCTCAAGGCAGTTCCACAGCAGCCCTGTCCCGTTTGTGATTTGTACACAGACCCTGGTTGGCATCACCTGGCACAGCTTTAAACTGGATGTGAAGAGGAAGCAGGACAGCATCAGGCTTGTCCCTGGCAAGCTGTACCATGAGAGTGTCTTGGTTTAAGACAATTTATGGGGCAGACACTGCAGTGTGAGTTACCTCCCCTTTTAGCTGTAACCACTAGCCTTCATCAATAAGGAGAGATGTACATGATAAGATATAAGTTTAAAAAAACCCCAAAAATTAGTAAAAAAACCCCAAAACAACCAGCAACCTTGTGGTCCTATGGAGATGATTCAGGGAGACTCCTGAGATAATAACCAGCAGGGAAACCCCAGGGGATTATCTGAGAAGAATTAAGGGATGTTCCTGTAGGAAGGTGGCACAGCCAACAGCCCAGCTGAGGTGCTTTTATACCAATGCACACAGCATGGGCAACAAACAAAAAATACTAAAAAGCACAGTGCTACTGGAAAGCTACAACTCGTTGCCATTCCTAAAATCTGGTGAGATGAATCCCATGACTGGAGTGTGACTATCAATGGTGGTAGGCAGTTCAGAAGAGACAGAGGAGGAAGGAGGGGCAGAGGACTTGCCCTCCACATCAACATGGCACCGAGATGGAGTGTGGAGAGTTGTCTCTGAAATATAGCCATGAGGGGGTCAAAAGCCTGTGGTAGCAATCAGAGAGCCCAGCAGCAAAGAGAGCTTTGTGGTTGACTACAGGCCCCTGGCAAAGGGAGGTGTTTGACCAAGCCCTCTTGCTCCAGCTGCAGGAAGTATTGTGTTTGCAGGCTCTTGTCCTGCTGGGAGACTTGAACCACCTTCACATCTGCTGGAAGTTGCAGCGTGAGCTGTAGGCAATCCAGGAGACTCCTGGAACACATGGAAGGTTGTTGCTTTTAAATTTTCTGGAAAAATCCCTTCACCCAGGATTTTTCTCCTGGGAAGCTGAGAAGCCTCAGAGAAAAAGGAAAACAATTCTTATCTCATTTGCTTATTCTGTGTTTTGCTGCTTAGGAATGTGTTTGGAGATTGTTTATCACAGGTGATTTCTGGTGTGAGTTGTTTTCACTCATTAGCCAATCAGGGCCTAGCTGTGTCAGGACTCTGGAGAGAGTCACCAGTTTTCATTATCATCTTTTTAACCTTCTGTAAGTATCCTTTATATATTCTTTAGTATAGTATTCTTTAATATAATATAGTATCATAAAATAATAAATTAGCCTTCTGAGAAGATGGAGTCAGACTCATCATTCCTTCCTGCCATGGGGCACCACACAAATACAATAGAAGGTAGCTTTTTGAGCTGGGTAATAGAGAGCATTGCCAAAGGGGAGGCAATCCTAGGTCTGTTGGTCACCAGGGCAAGTGAGTTAACGGGAGACACAAGGAATGGAGGCAGCCTGGGCTGCAGTGATCAGGCATCAGTGGTGTTCACACTCCTGAGAGATATGGGTCAGGCCAGGTATAAAGTTAGGCCCCTGAACTTCCAGAGTGCAGACTTCCAGCCCTACAGTCAGTGAAAGTCCCTGGGAGACAGCCCTTGGGGACCAGGGAGAGGTACAGAGCTGGCAGACCTCTAAGGAAGTCTCCCATGGTGTGCAAGAGCCAGCAATTCCCAGAAGCAAGAAACTGGCCAAGGAATGTGAGACATTGGCATGGCCCAGTAGGGACAGGCTGGTCAAACTGAAGGGAAAGGAGAAAATTATGAATAAACAGCTGAAGCTGGCACAGGTGACCTTGGAGGAGTATAGAGATGAAGTACAGGACAGGGAGGGGCTGAGGAAAGCCAGGACAAAGGTGGAACTGAGCCTGGCAAGACACACCCCATTAAGACCAGGCTAGAGGTCATTTCCAGCACTGGTTTCTCTGCCTCATTGCACAGTTTGCTGTGGATTTTAAAGGAGGCCAACAAGGCAAGCAAAATAGGAATCTGCTTACTTTGGGACTAAGCTGCATGTCAATCACCAATCTAACATGACAGGGCAACAGTACCCCTAAAACTGGTTGAATTTTACACATAGTGCCTCGTGTTTCCCCCTGACAGTGATGCAGCATGGTCTCTGTGCAGCTGTGAGAAATCTCTTACTTTGGAGCTGTGCCAGTCGTGCTGCTGCACAGTTTTGGGGAATTAAAGTCCACGTGCATCCCTCTATCCAGATGTCCTTTTGCTTTACTTACATTGAAAATGTAGGAGATGCAATAAAAGTTTATCTCCCTGCTGATGAAGATTTAGCACAATATCAACATTTATTCTAGCAATTGAGTGCTCGATGGGCATTTTAAATTATCTTTGCAAAAAGATGATGCTGAGATTGCCATGCCTGGAAAAAACTGAAGATAATTCTGGATTTGTGTTTTGTAGCAATTCAGAATGAATTTGTAGCAGTTGTGCAGTGTAGTGCAGCTGTATTTTATTTGAGGGTCTGCACATACCCATGTTACTACTGCAGATCTCTCTTCTCATTTTCTTTTGGACTAGCACCAGAAATTGGAACTGTGGTAGTAGGAGTGGTATCACCTGTAAGAGGAATACCTTGGGCTGTAGATTCTTTTCTAACTGAAACATGCTACTTTCACAGTCTACAATTTGCCCTTAGTCTAAAGGTTGTTTATTATCCACCTTGGACCCTTCTTTTTCTCTTGGTCCAAGAAAAGACCAACTAAATTATTTTTTTTCCTCTTCTGTATATGAATATGATTATATATATTTATATATATATATATATAAGTATATATATATATGTAAGTATATATATTTTTTCTATTAAAAAAAAAGAAAACCTTTTATTTTGTTCTAATACTTCCCCAAAATTGCCCTTTCAAATACTATACTTTCAAATCTTGTTTAGCTAATGCAAAAAATAGATTTTGTTTTGTTTTGGTTTGGTTTTATTTTTAGGAGAAGACACAAATAATTACAACTTAGGCAAAGTTAGAACAAAACCAGAGTCTTCCCACCAATGAACTCCCAACTTGGTGCTTGGACTGTGAAGGAGAAGCAGCTTTGATTCTCTTACTCAAAGGTCAGTGCATAGAAACATTCAGACAAAATCTCTCTCTGTGAGAGGTGAGGAGTTCTGAACCTTTATTTTGGTATTCAGGTGTCGTGGATTACATTGTGTTCTTTAAGGAGAAAGGCTTGTAAGCTTTATTTTCCTCTTTGCCTGCTGAATTTTAGCTTTTGGATCTCAATTATTTGCTATTCTGTAAGCTTGCATGGATTCTGTAAGCTTGCATCATTGATGCCATTCATTAATTTGTCTTTCAATGGATTTAGCTGCCCTGCTGTCTCATCTTATGGTCTCATCATGGTCTTTTACCATGTTTTACTGCTGAGATGAAAGCATCACATTGAAAATACCTTTATTGTAGGACTGTCATGGTTAACATATTTTTCCTTTTTAGCATTGTTTGCCATTAAATATCCTTGTTAAGGAAAAAAAAAAAAAGGTATGTATTTCTAAAAAGAGAGCTCCAAAGTTAAATTTATCTTTTTGTGATCCACTTTGTCACTTTGAAAAAAAAATTCTTGGGCTTTTCCAATCCAGATTTGTCCTGATGAATTAGTTGCTGTCATCTTCTTTTTCTTGGAGAGAACCTGAATTTCCAATTTGGTGGCTCATGGATGTCTGATTGAGCAGTGGTGTTGTGCAGGATCTTACAGACCATAATTTCTCGCGGGCTTGGACACTAATATCTTGCCATACTAAATTGTGAGCTACCTTCAGCTAAAGCAGTGAATTAGGAAAAGCATGGCTGAAACCAGAAATTATTATTTCTATATAATTTAAAATAAATTATATAATATAAAAATATATATTATATCTTTATATATGGTATATATATGTAATATGTATATATATATACATATTATATATATACATATTATATATATATATATACATATGTATATATATAATATATAAATATATTATATATAATATATTATGTAAATTATATATTATACACAAATATATATTACATTATATATATTATATATAATATATGTAACAGATATTGTATATAATTGTATACAATATATATTACATATATATTGTATATGTATGTACATAAAATATATGTAATATGTATATAATATATGTATATAAAACATGACACATATGTGTAATATATATTATATGCATATATAATAATATAATATATTATATATAATATACTAAATATAATATATTATATATATTATATGTTAAATATTTAATTATATAATTATATTATATAATAAAATTATATATATTTTATTATAGAATAATATTATATAATTATATAATATAAATTTATATATTATATAAAATATAATAATTTATGAAATAATATTTCTATACACTGGAGCTGCTTCATCTAAACTAAAAAATGGCATTGCATTTTAACTTTCTTTAAGGTTTCTTAGCTATTTGTGGTTGATTTATAAGTAGTTCATTGGGACACAGGTTGTATGCTGAGATGACAAGACAAAACACTGACATGTGTAAAGACACCTTTCAAGTGAAAGTGTGGGTGTTTCTCTTGTCTCATGAGACTGCTTCCTCCTTTTTTAAACTGAAAATCTCACTTTAGAGGAAGGACAAGGATATATTTTGGTTAAACCACTGTAATACCACTAAAAAAAAATACTCACTTTAGGGTATTCCTGAATACATAAATACAAATAAGTCAGGCCTGAGCAACAATTTTAATGCCAGCATGTTTTTTTAAGCTGAACAAAGCAAGAGCATATGTAGGTGCTTACAGTGGTGATGCACTGCAATGGGTTAGTAATGAGACTTTTGTAAAGCAAATACTAACATTCATGTTTTCCTGAACCAGAGTCAACAAGGATGTAAATATTAGTGTCTACACACAGCTCCATTACAAAATGTGCTGATTTTCCCTGTCTGATCTGCCTCCTGCTGAGTTAAAGAGGCAGCTTTGAGGTCAGCATACAAAAATCCTCATGCGTGATACATTTATTTAATGTCTTTATTACTAAAATCTACCTGCATTCCTTAATTCCTTTGGTTGGCAGAAAGTGTCCTGAATAAAATTCTTCTCTCCTTATGTCTAATAGAAACAAATTCTGAGGTTCTCTTGTTTAACAACTGTGCAACCTCTTGAATCAAGATTAAACACTTTGTTTTGTCTCCAGGCAGTTGTATATTTATTACTCTTGAGGCAGTGCTATTTGAAATAAATGGAATTGAAAGATCCTGAGAAATGGTTTCTGAAACACACATATTGAGTTATTCTCTCCTATGTGAGCAGAAAATGCTTCTGATGCTTCTCCCTGCACCCTTGCAAAGGAAAATAGCTGATATAAAAATATCACATGATGGGGGTGGTGAAAAGGTAAGCATTTTTATCCTCAGCCACCGAGGCTTTTTGCTGCTTATTGTCCTGAAAATAATTAGGTTATCTTTATGAAATGTATTACTATTCACTAAAGATAACATAGGTAAGGGCATAACAAAGGACAAAATAAAAGATAAAAGGAAAAAGTCTCTCCTTTTCTGCCTCAAAAGGTACAATATGCAAACAAAAAAAAAATAATCCATGGCTTGGAAATAGTCTTAAAAACTTCTCAAGATTCAGATCTATATTTTGGGCTGGTGATAGGGCTTATCTCTTCTCCCTGATCAAAATAATAAATGCTCACCAAGAGAAAAAGTTCTTTTATGTTATAAGGAAAACAATTTCCATGTAGCTTTTGTGTGTGTGTACGCATATTCATAAAATATGGATTAGCAGCACTAGGTATTCAGCTAAGTAAATATTCATACAATAAAGGTGAAATTGATATGCATTTCCCAATAGAGAGTAATAAGCATATTTTGATTTCTTAGTAAAATATAAGACTAAGGGGAGAGAAAGCACTTTTTGCCTGGCCATGTTTTATTCCTCATTCTCATTGTGCTGATCCTGCGGGCAAAGATTTTCTGACATTTTGAATATACAGTATTGCTAATATTGTTAAATGTAGAAGAATCAGGTCTATTGCTTAAAACATAAAATAGAAAGACATTTTGGATTTTTTTTTTCCCTTGATTCTAAATTTTGTCTTTGGGGTACATTAAAGTTGCATATTTAGGTCCTTTTATATATATATGTCTGAGAGATAGATATACCTTTTTTACTGAAATCTTATATTTTCAGAAGTGTAGGTTCTGGTACCTTGTTAGCAATATGTGCTAACAACTATTGGAAGACTCAATAAATAAGATATGTGCTGCAGTCATGAGCTTTATACTTACTTGTAGGTATTCCTGATGGCTTTATTTGCAGTACACATCATCATTTAGGGTAATAGAATGGAACTGTTTCTGAATAAAATGAAAATTAAGTGGATATTCTAAAGCTCTTCCTGAGATGTCTCAAGAACAGCTCCATTTCAAAGATAGGCTCCATTTCAACAGGCTATTTCAAAATAGCCTGTTGAGTGAGGAAAAATTTATATGTTGGTGTTCAAACAGGCAAAAGTTTAAAAAAAAACAAATCCTTGAGGTAAAACAGAATGCAAATGGGTTTTTTTTTTTGCTATTGTTTTCATTTAATGCCTAAAGAGTTAGCTTAGGCTCCTGTTTTTCAGAAACAGAATGTTTCAAACCCAAAGTTGAAGAATATGTCTTCGTAGAATTAGTATTTGATGTAAAATAGGTTTGGAATGTGTCTCGTTCTTTACCAGAGTTTGTCGCAGACATATTTCAATGAAAAATCCTTTCCTTAGGATTTTTTTCCTCCTGAGAAGCTGGGAGGCCTCAGGAACAAAATGCAAACATTGATTATCTGCTGCTGTGGAATGCAACAGGTGCATCTGTGATTGGCCCATGCTGGATGTTTGTAATTAATGGCCAATCACAGCCCAGCAGGCTCGGACAGAGAGCCAAGCCACAAACCTTCGTTATCATTCTTTCCTATTCTATTCTTAGCCAGCCTGCTGATGAAATCCTTTCTTCCATTCTTTTAATACAGTTTTAATATAATATATATGGTAATATATATCATAAAGCCTTCTGAAACATGGAGTCAGATCTTTGTCTCTTCCCTCATCCAAGAACCCCTGTGAGCACCCTCACAAGAGTTTCTGTTGATATTGATTCTTTGTTTCAGTTGGGCCTGTTTGCAGAAACTATTTCACCCCTTTCTTCTGTTTCACCACTTGGGTCAGTTGGGTCAGTTCCCTGTCCAGGCTGGGGAGATGGGTTTATTTGTGCATGTGCAGAGCTCACATCCTCACCCCTCTCTGCTGCTGTTTGGTGTTTTGTTCTTTGAACACAAACAGAACTTTCCAACAGCAGCCGTACTTTGGACAGCCAGGAAGTGTGAGGGCTTTGTTCTACTCATTTTATAGGCTTTTGCATTAATGCATGGGCTATGTGTGTTCAGTAGTGTAATTTCAGTGTGTTCATTGCCATTAAGGAAAATAAACACAAAACTGTCTTTGGCAACTGGCATGGAGCTGGGCTGAGCCAGTAAATAAATGTTATGTATTTAAAGGATACTTTTTTTTTTTTTCAATTTTAGAGCTGTTAGAGGAAAAATGAACATTGTCATATGGTTTGAATTTTTTTATCTAAATTAGACCATCATCTGCATGTCACGGATCATTTTCACATGCTGAATAAATAAGACCCATCATAAATGATGGCAGCAATCTCCACCAACAGAGCTTGTTGATACCTGCTTGTTGAAGTCTATTATTTAAAATAATTCCTTTGGCTTTGTCAATGTTTACACAGGGCAGCATCTTTAATGTTGATTTAAGGTTATCTCTATGTTCCATAACTAGAATACAGAACATTTTTATTGATTTCTTAGCCACACTCTTCTACTTTACTATCCATAAATGAATTTTGATTCATAAAAGAAAAACCCTGGGAGTCAAATGTCAGCTATCATCCAATATATTGCTCTCTGCTGCAAGTAAAATATTCTGCATCTCATCTTGAAAATATAATGCATGTAAGTCTTCTCTGAAAGAATTTCAATAAAATATTGATGTAAGCACTTTTTTTTTCATTTTGTTTGATAAGGTATTTTGAAGATATGGACAGCAGCACAAAACAAAGCCTGGAGTCATTCCATTTTGTATTTTGTATTTTTTTTTGAGCTTTTCCACAAAAGGTGGATGTTTTATTTGTGTTAGAGAAAATACTCTGTGGTGGAAAATACTCTGTGGTATTGTCTTGAGTGATCTGTCTTAGTAGATTTTGTGCTGGGAGATATGAGCAAGCCTAGTAAAGCGTAATAACAAAACAAGTACTGTACAGACTCCTCTGGATATCACATTTGTTACTTATATCACATTCAGGTGCCCTGCTTTTAAAGAATGTGTTCCTACACAATGCTTTTAATCTTTTCCTCCTAAGTTTCTGGCTTGCTAATATGTGCTATTAGAATATTTTGTCTTGTTTAAATACAAGGTGGCAATTCCATGAACAATCTAACCTGATTTTCTCTTCACAGCCTGAAAACAGATGAAGAAACGCAGCTCACGGTAAGAAATCGGATGCCACCTGGAAAATTTGGACACCATAGAAGCTAGAAAAATGCCACCTTCTAGGGGCTTACACACTTGGAAAATAATTCATTGCAAGTGATGGGGCTTTTTTTTTTTGGTTTTGGGGGGTTTTTTTTGTGTGTTTGGTTTTTTTTGGGACTTCACCTGACAGAAATCAGGTGACTGCTCTTCATTCATGTAATTCTCATGCAGAAAGTAAAGGCAAGTTGTGTGATTTTTGTGCCACAAATTAAAAAATGGTGATCACTAGCATTGCAGTGAATATCAAATGAATATATAATAACAGAACATTAGGAAACAATTAGAAAAAGTGCCTAGGCATTATTAATTCATGCACTATTCATTGTACCAACATTGATCATGTGAAAGAAGTGTGGTGTTAGTTACATTTTAATCATTCAGCGTTGAAGAAGGACTAATTATTTTCAAATAACGATGGGAAGGATCCAGTTTTATTAAAAAAAAAAAAAATCATGGAATGTCTTAAATACTCCCACAGGTTTTTAATAGGGGAAACATATGGCTGCCATTATCTGTAGGACAATGGAGGATATCACAGCAATTGATCATTTTTCAACTCTTACAAAGAAGGCAGAGGTACTGCTGCCCTCACAGGAGGCTGTGTTAACTATGGGATGGCTCATTCCTCACCCATCCAGGACAGACCTTGAGCTGACTGAGCATTATTGTCCCTTCCAGCCAAACTACTTGGATTTCTTCAGTGCTTCAGGAGAGTCCTGTGCAATGAGAGCAGCAGGTAGGACTCAGGGTCAGTGAGGGATGTGCCTGCAGTGGGTAAAACTGGACCATAAAGGGAGAAGCACTGGGTGTGTCCATCTCCCTGCTGCCCTTTTCCTCCGCTGGGGAAAGCATTTAGGGGCTTCCAGTCCCTTCTGAACAAAGAAGCTGCTCGTATCTCCTTGGAAAATAATCTCTGGTTTTGCACATTACGCCTGAGAGGAAAACTGAAAGTTTGGTGCCTCCTTCATAGGAAAGTTTCTTGGGCTGAGGCTTTCTGAAGATGCTGAGATAAGGTGCTCAGGGATTTAGAGCCTGGTGGAACAGCTGTGAATTAGAGAAGCAGATGCTGACATGCTGCATGGCAAAGATGCCAAACCCCAAGCCTGTTTGTATGTTTTGTATGTGACAGCTCCTTGGGTTTTGCTCTCCCTTCCTCCCTTCTCTTGGCAAAGTATCTCATAAATGCTTCCAAATGGAGAAAAGGGTCTGTAGGGACTTCTCTGCTACCCAAATGCAGTTCTGTGAGCTTTTCTTCCTGGAGTGACATCCTCATGGGTGGGGGCTTGGCGGGCTTGCTTTGAAAATAGCTTGTGTCTCACTCTAATTTCTGTGTCTTGCCATAACTTGTGGTTTAGGAGACTTCAGTTCAGGTGTAATGACACAGCCAAAACACAGAAGGTCAGCTGGGTGGTGTGTTGTGGGTCTCAGGACAAGGTGAGAGATAAGAATCTGACTCCAAGTTCTCAGAAGGCTGATTTATTATTTTACATGCTATGTTATATTATGTTATATATTATATATTATATATTATATATTATATATTATATATTATATATTATATATTATGTATATATTATATTACATTACATATTACATATTGTATTACATTATGTTATATTATGTTATAATCATATACTAAAACCATACTAAAGAAAGATAAAGGAGACGTCAGAAGGCTTGACAAGAATGAATAATAAAAACCCGTGACTGACCAGAGTCCTGACACAGCTGGACTGGGATTGGTCATTAATTAAAAACAATTCACACTGAACCAATCAAAGATGCACCTGTTGATAAGCAACCTCCAGACCTCATTCCAAGCAATCCGATAATTATTGTTTACATTTCTTTTCTGAGGTTTCTCAGGAGAAAAATCCTGGCAAAGGGATTTTTCATAAAATATCATGGTGACTAATGGTGGGAATCAGTGAGCTGCATCTGGAGTGATTTAAGTGGTAATTTTACTTTAAATGAATAGTGCTTGGGAAAAGCTCAAGAATATGGGTTAAGATCAGTGGAAACAAAGCCTACTGTAGCTTTTTGCTTCATGCTTTGTCTAGTAAGCCATAGTAACATACAGTTACTATTATATCAGGTTTACTTTGGTATATTGTCTTTTTTGTAACATCTGGGTCTGGTATATTTATGTTATTTGGGGACAAAAATAACACATATTTTCTGTGTGTGGATTGGTTGGTTTAAATTCACAAAAAAAAAAAAAAAGCTACATGTTCTTGCTTTGGTATTGGATTCTTGAGTGGATGCTTTTCATTATATTATCTTCCATAGTTTTATATAGTATTGATGAAATTGAAAATCAGTGACCTGACAAAAACAAAATAATACAGCATGAAAATTGCTACCATGATTTCATGCTGTGTTAATGCAAGGATGTCATTCCTGCTTCAGAATAATAACAGTGTTTTGCTTCTGAACTTACAGCATCTCTCTCTCCCTCTCTTCCTCTGCCCACCCCTCCTTTTCCCTTTAAAGAGAATTGATGCCACAATGAAATTTGTTTTAATCACATATCTTGGTTGTTTGTTAGTGAGTAACCACTACTAGCAGGTAATTTTTTTGAGGCAGAGAGTGGAATCTCTGAATTGCATAAGCATATGCAGAAATGCAGAAAGAAGCAGGTTTAACAGTCACTATAACAGGGTTAATTGCAGAATCTGGGAATTTTTTCAGTCATTCTTCCTCAAAGAACCATCACTCAGGCTGTATGGCAGCACCCTTTAAATTCCCACAGGGCACTGCTTGTCTTGGAATATGCAGAAGTGATATTCACTCTCTGTTCTCAATAATTCCTATTCTCCTACAGGTGCCAGAAAAGATTTGAGGAAAGACACTCAATTCTGATTAACATACACACTGAACTTGGAACAATGTGATCAGGTTTCAAATATCACCTGATTAGAGACCTCCTTATGGAACCTTCCTATCTTGCCAATGGTGGTAGAACCTACAAATGAGATGTGAGCATTCCATGAAAAGTGGGGAGATCCTGGAGAAGTTGTGCCATGTGGGAAGTGTGTCTTTCAGGTCCCAGACAACCTGATCAGACTCTGCCATCATGAAAACTTCTCTGTCCAGAGAGGGAGGGATCAAATGCCAAGTCTCAAGTTAAAGGAAGCAGCAGCTCCTCCTTGTTTTGGCTGTCCCTGTTTCTTCACTGTTGGCTGTCCCTCTGTTTCTTCACTGCTTGCAGAAGAGGGTGGGCCTGGCTGTTCATGTGTGCACAGAATGAAGTATCCATCTCTCCTGTACTTCATGGAGGAGATGGAAAGGGAACAGGAAGAAACAGAGCACCCTGCCCTCTCCTCTTGCTCTACCTGACTCGCCTCAAGAATAGAGGTAAATTTAAAAAAAAACAAAAAGACCTGTCCCCCTTCCCCTGTCACAGACACATGCTATGAAAAATCCTTTCCTTAGGATTTTTCCTCGTGAGAAGCTAAGAAGCCTCAGAAATTAAATGTAAACATTGATTATCTGCTGCTGTGGAATGCAACAGGTGCATCTGTGATTGGCCCATGTTGGATGTTTGTAATTAATGGTCAATCATAGTCCAGCTGTCTCAGACAGTCTGAGAGTCACAAGATTTTATTATCATTCCATTCCACTTTTTTTTCCTTGCTAGCCTTTTCCTTGCTAGCCTTTTTTTCCTTTCTTCTATTCTTTCAGTATAGTTTTAATATAATATATATCATAAAATAATAAATCAGCCTTCAGAAACATGGAGTCAGATCCTTGTCTCTTCCCTCATCCTGGAACCCCTGTGAACACCACTACATTCCCACACCCAAGAAAATAGCTTATTGCATGGAATAGTTTATTCAGCACAGAGCTGAAGGGCTGCTGGTACAAAAGCCTCCCTGTGTGTTTACTTGTTCACAGTTAAAGAATTTCCCCACAATAACTGAGGTCTGAACAGGTTCAGAATCTCTTCTCACGTACAAGGAGTTTCCTTGACTTTGGTTATTTTAGGCAGAAAATAATTTATGACTCAGTGAGCCAGAGAGGAAATACATGTGAACATGGGGCTTAGTGGTTAGTGTTCATCTGAGGGCTCCAGTTTCCATGCTAAGGACAGACTCAGCTCTAATGTCAGCTTTTGGCACAGCGATTTGAAGTTCTCTTCCCTTCTAAGGTGGTTCATGTGCTGCAGAATTCTCCAGTTTAGCATTGTCCTCTCTAACTTCATAGCCGCCATGAGGAGATGGGAATATCCTAATGGGTATGGTAACCCACCACTTTAAAGACAGATAGGGATATGGGGTTGAGTTCTGTGACCATAGGAAACAGTTCAATCAGCCTGGAAGATGGTTCTGAATGTTTCTGAGCTGTTTTATAGGGTTAAATAAGAGGTACCTCATCCTGTAGCTTAATTAAAAAAAAAAAAAAAACAAGGACAACCTCTCCTTTATTTTCAAAGAGGTAATATTGATCACGTCTTACTTAAGACAGAGGTTTTTGTGAAGTCACACTTCTATTCTGGATGCTTCTTATTAATAATCTCAAATGGTTCTTTGGTGAGCAGGCTAGTTTGGCTCACCAGCTGACTTATCATCCTGTCACATTCTCAGAATGATTTTACAGAATTTTCAATCTCTATCAGATAGCATGAGGACAAATATGAAATAGGGACTAAAGAAAAAAAAAGTCCCCTTCCAAAAGATAATTTTTATTTGCTGAATTAATTTCATTCTGGAACTGAGTGTTTCAAATCATTCACTAACTCCTGCTTGCCTTTCAGCCTGCCTGAAGCTCTCTGTGCTTTGTCTTGCTAATAAAGTGTTGTGTGGCTCAGTTTTATGTTTGTTTCTTAAACTGCTCTTCCCCGTTGCCACTGTTTGTTCTGCTTGTTTGCGGTTTCAGCATCTCTTTGTTTGCTCTCCTCCCCTGCTGCCTTTCCATTCTTGCAGCCCTCTGGGGTTTTGCTGTGAACTGCCCATCTGATGGGTTTCCTGCTGACTTTATCTGATTGCTGGAGCTCCAGCATTAGCTGCACACAAGGCTGGAGCACCATCCCTGGGTTCCAGGTGCTCCAGCCACTCAGCTCCAGTGCCTGCTCTGGCTCTGAGGCTGCCTGGTACCAACGAGACAGGAATTTTTTGGTCTGTTCTTTCATTTTTTTATATATCTCTGCCGAAAGGATCTCCACGTGTGGCTACTTAGTTATTTGGATAGCATTGAATATTGCTGTAACTTAATGAAGAAGCTCTAATCTAAGTACAGGAATGTCATCTGAGGACCTTGATTGCTTTGTGTCTTTTACTAAATATGATGAGGTGTTTTTTTTTTTTTTTCTTTTGGTAAACATTTTGTTTTCCATCACAAAGATGGAAAGATAGAATCTTTTCAATGAATATGATTTGTTCATAATTCCCTGCTGTGGAAAACAGATTTTTATTACTGATAGAAGCATGAGGCGAAAAAAGAGGTGTAGAGTTTAACATTCTTTATGGTAGAATTTAAATTTAAGATAAAATTAAACCCCAAATTTGAATTAAATAAATTGATTTAAACCCTTTGTGGAGTTATTCATTCAGTCTGGCATCTTGAATCTTTCAAAAAATCTTTTTTTTAGTATTAGGATATGTACAGGATGGCTGTTTTCACCAGGATGGAGGTAAAAGTCAAAAGATGTGTTTTATATAACATCCTTGCTAATACATTTAATCAATATATTTACTGATATTGAAAATTTTGTTTTACAGATTGTTAGAACTGCCCCCATGCTGTATGAAGACAAATTAATCATATCCAAATAAAGAGTGAAAAAGGAGTATGAAGAAGGGGAATGGAAAGAAAAAGAATTCTAAATAGAGTGACTGCAGTTCTTTTACCAGAACGTGTGGGCTTTGATTTTTGCTGTTACTTTTCTTTTCATCATGGGAGAGGTCTTTTTCAGAGCTTACAGAGTTTTGAAAATGTTTTGATGGAATTTTTTTGGGGAGGATTTTTCAGTCATCACGAGGCAAGGGGAGATCATAAAGGGAAAGAGCAGGGTGAGTAGAGGAAGAGGGAGAATTGGGAGATGGTGCAGGAGGAAGCTGGGGGAGTGATGGGGTGTTTTGGGGGTGCCAAATCCATGAAGGGCCCAAGGGAAAAACCACTGAGAGCAGAGTGGGCATAGTGACAGTGCCAGGTTTTGGTTTGGGTTCATTATCTTCCATCAATAATGAGATTATTCATGATAGAGCTGCTGAATGCACCCTTGCCCACACCCCCTGCCCTCCCCAAATAATGTTCATACCTCCCCAGTTTCTGAGAAATCAAGCCTACACTGAGGTGCAGATTTCAGACTCTGTGGCTGGGTCATTTTTGATTTCTTGCTGAGAAGAGTTTTCTTCTTGATGTTTTAAAATTCTTCTGCAGCTAGAAGAGAATACCTTTTCTAATACCAGATTAAATGCTAATAAAATGTCACATTTAAAACCAGCTGGTTTTAAAGGCAGGTGGTTTCACAGGAACTTTGAAGTACACAGCTGGTTCCAAATAGAAGGGGTAATATTCTGATTTATTTTGTTTATATAATTTGACTTTTAGTTCAAATAAAAGAATGGGCAATATTCAAGTACATTGTGAATGCAATGGGTCAATTTCACCCAATTCAACACAACTGAACTTGTTGGGAGAACAAGTTCAGATAAAAACAAGATATGTGTTATTAATGAGCTTAATTTGTCACTGAAGCAATGTTTCTTCAAATGTGGTGGTTATTTGTTGTTGGAACCCTAAATTGCACCTGTATATCCTCCTAAAATATCCTCCAACAAATATGGTTGTTGGAACGCTAAATTGCACCTGTATATCCTCCTAAAACAAGCAGCAATTGAAGTGGCATATTTTGGTTTGATGCAGTTTCTCAGATTTTAGGTGAATTCTATAGAAGCTATCAGGCTAGATAAACAGACTTGTTCTTTCTGTGTTTTTAATTCCTGAAGGCACACTCTGTACAACAGCTTTACAAGTCAGTGGCAGCAATTACATTTGGCCGCCGGGTGCCCAAACCGAGCGCTCCGGGCCAGAGCGGAGGCACAGGTTGCCCTCACCCTCTTCCTGCAGGGAGGTGAAAATCTGGGAGCAGCCCACCCCTGTGGAGTCAGATGCAAAACAAACTTGTCTGCACAGAGCCACATCAGCTGCTGGGGAAGCTGTCTGCACAGCCAGGGCAGGATTTTGTTCTGCATGTGTTGCGTTGCTTTAGGCGCGATTTCGAGCCCTGCTTTCCAAGAATCCGCGTCGGTGGCTTTCCAAAAGCCTTCCAGAGATCCAAACTGATCTGCCACAGTACACACCACCTCCTTGTGGTATCCCTGTGGATAGGAGCTGCTTTGCTGCTTTTCCTGCTTCCTCTTATTGAACATGGTGTGTTCAGAGAAGGTTAGTCCAGAAACCATCCATGTCTTCTGCAGAAACAGGACATCCAGAAGGATAATCCAGAAACCATCCGTGTCTTCTGCAGAAACAGGAATGTCAGTTTTGGTCAAATCCTGACACAGGATTTAAATGGCAAGCAGAAAATTCTTCCTGCTTATGATCAGGAAGGTACCTAGCAATATTTTTTTGTAGGTGCAGGCTGCTCACAGCAAATGGCAAAGTAGTAAATCTGCTCCGGGTATTTATGTTTTGCTTTAGGTTGCAGAAAATTCCACAATTCTATTTCATTATTGCATAGCTTGCTCCTGCTAGTTGCTGTACAATTACTGAATTAGAAAGTCAGGTGAATTTATAAAATAGTGCAAAGTATGTGTTTCTTCATGGATACATTTGCTTTGTTTTTGGAATACGTGCTTAGTGATACAATGCTTTGTGACACTGGTCACAAAAGTAGAATATATTTTTCTCCAATTTATTCCATTTAAGGAATTAAAGAAATTAAGGTTCCTTTTCTTTTACCTGTACTTTGCAGAGAAACTGTGATTTCTTAATCTCTATGAAGCTTCTCCCTATTAGTTTACCCATTGGCACGGGCTGACATGGAGCCTGTGGAACCTGAAGTTGGTGTTCTGCTGCTCAGAAGAGTATGCTCAGAAAGCCAAGTCCAATATTTGCCTACATATGTGCAACTCACTTTGACTCCAGGGCAGGAGATTTGCACTTGGGTTATAATGTAGTGATGCAATGCTTTGTGACACTGGTCACAAAATAAAAATAGAATATATTTTTCTCCAATTTATTCCATTTTAGGAATTAAATAAATTAAGCTTCCTTTTCTTTTACCTGTATTTTGCAGAGAAACTGTGATCTCAATCACTATGGAGTTTCTCCCTATTAATTTACCCACTGGCACGGGCTGACATGGAGAGTGTGGAGCCTGCAGTTGGTGTCCTGCAGCTCAGAAGGTTCTACTCAGAAAGCCAAGCCCAAATTTTGCATTCCAATATTTGCCTACATATGTGCAACTCTCTTTGACTCCAGGGCAGGAGTTTTGCACTTGGGCTACACAATAAATAGATTTGTCAGTTCAGTGACCGACTTAAAAATAAATAAATTAAAATGGTTCCAGCTGACAAGAAACAGATCTCTCTTTACTCCTTTCCACTTCTTTTTTCCCAGCTAATCAAAGCAAGATGCTTTTTTCAAACAAAAAATAAATTAATTCCCAGACTGTGACAGTGTTCACAGGGGTCTTAGGATGAGGGAAAAGACAAGGATCTGACTCCATGTTTCAGAAGGCTTGATTTATTATTTTATGATCTATATTATATTAAAACTATACTAAAATAATAGAAGAAAAAATTTCATCAAAAAGCTAGCTAAAAATAGAATAAGAAAGAATGATAACAAAAGCTTGTGGCTCAGACTCTCTGTCTGAGCCAGCTCACTGGGATTGGGCATTAATTAGAAACAACTAACACAAGCCAATCAAAGATCTACTTGTTGCATTCCACAGCAGCAGATAACCATTGCTTACATTTTGTTCTTGAAGCCTCTCAGCTTCTCAAGAGGAAAAATCCTACAGAAAAGATTTTTTATAAAAGATGTCTGTGACACCAGACATTTCAGATGAAAGCAAATCTAGATTTTAGGGCAATATATGGGTTCCGCAGTTTTCTTTTGCATACTGGATCAGAAACTGTCCAAATCTCTACTGATTTTAAAGAGATGTATTTCCCTCCCAGTTAACTTGAAAGAAATGACCTAGCTGTGGAGTTCTATGCTACTACAGAATGTTGTACCTTTCTGTTGGAACATCTCTGCTATGTATTAAGTGCTTAAGCACCTCTTTTGGTCAAAAAGTAGCTCTACAGCCTGCTGCTAAGAACATTCTGGGGATTCCCAGGTTCCTGTATCAATGAATCTAAGTGCTCAATAGGAGAGAAATGATAGACTGAGGTGGCATTAGCCCACAGTTCTTCATTTTTCTTGATTTGGTTCAGAAAGAGATTAGACTTGGATCTGAGCCTTGACAGCATGTTTTAATTGTTGGGCTGCAAAGCCAGAAAGCTCCTTTTTGGGCAAAATATTGTGAAAGTAAAAATGGTTAAAATATTGTGGGAAAATAAAAAGTGGCCATTTTGACATGAGCAGATCACTTGTCTTCTCCCAGGTGACAATTTATACAATGAGACGAAACAGCCTCGTGCTGCACTAGAGTGGTTTAGATTGGATAATAATAAAAATGTCTTCACTGAAAGGGTTGTCAGACATCAGAACAAGCTGCCAAAAGAAGTGGTTGAGTCTCCACCCATGTAGACTTTGAAAAGACATGTAGATGTGGCACTTGGGGACATGGTTTAGTGGCAGTGCTTCACAGTACTGAGCTAACAGCTGGACTTGGTCTTAGAGGTCTTTTCAAAGGAAAAATTTTAGTGATTGTATGAACTAATCATTGGGAATCTTGTTTCTATTGTATTATTTGGTGGGAGCTACTCAGTGTGGACTTGCCTTGATTTTCTATTTGCTTGAGTTTGGCAAGAAGATATATAGCTTCCAGTCTGAGAGTTTAATATATCTGAAATGTATGGTGAAACTTTTCTTGGTCATGAGAATGGCCTTATCTTGCATTGTTAGAAGTTTAGCATGGTGATATTTTAATTCTTGCAAAATTCTCTACTACATTTATGCATCCAGAAGATATTTTCCCTTTTAAATGCAGTAAGATGACGCAGTATGTCTCTGAAAGTGATACTCTCACAAAAAATGGTGAGACTTGGCTCCAAAAAATATTCTTGAATCTAAATTTCATAAATAAAGACAATTGGTTGTACAGAGTCATTATTCTTTTTATCCATTCCTTTTGTTGAGACAAGTTAGTGCAAAATCTTACCTGCCTGGTCTGGAGTAATGATCTTAAGTCAGTGGACAAGCTGTCATGATTTCAGTCTCCTTTCGAATTCCCCTCTCACCATTTTCCAGGCACTCCTAGTGCCTGGGATGGTATTTTTAAATATCTTCTGAGCTGTGCTGCTTAGGATTGACATTTCACTCAGTTTGCACAGCCTTCCTTTGTGTGACAGTTAATTTAACCCTCGTGGTTCTGTTCTGGCATAATTCCCCCATCCTCTTCAGGTGGGCAGCCCCTTACCTGAAGCCACAAGCCACTTGATGAAGAAATCTGCTTACATGACCTTGAATGATTTATCTGCTTGCATTTTTCCCAGAATTTGCAGAACCAATGGCCTGGGAAGACAGTGGTGTAGGGAAAGGCACCATTGGGAACGTTCAGCTCCTCATGAAGGAGGTGGAGCTTCTTTGTGTGAGCCAGGCACTGGATTTTTGCACGGTGTCCTGAGATGGCTCTCTCTGCTTGCAGTAAGTAAAAACCAGCTCAATACAGCTTGTGAGGGCTCCCTGTTTGGGCTGGCTTGGCTATCTAGGTCCCAACTCCTTTTCAGAAGGTTCAGGGGACAAGAAGCTTAGGCATGTTTCAGAACAGAACTCCAAGCAGCCTGTGGCTGTACCCCAGAATTGTGTTTGTGGGCACACGGGTTTTCTCTCTTAGATTTCTCCCATTCTTTGAGCAATAAAGTGAAGGAAAGCTGATTGGCTTTTTAAAAAATATAATGATGTTTTAAGTGTACTGTCTGTCTGAGTCATGCAAAAATCTTAGTGATTCCCCTCTGTGAATAGTGTTGCCTAAAAATTACCTTAAATGTCCAATTAATTGGTATTCCATTTCTGTCTCAATTTTTTTGAGAAATGTACTTTATTCTGCTAGCTGTAGTCCCTCCTATACTTGGTAGGTTTTTTTTTTTTTTCTCTTTGTCTAGGTACTTATTTGCAAATGCTCAGTAGACTAATTAAGGTTCCTGAAGGTTTAACCTTGTCTTATCAGTAGAGCCTGAGACTTGCCATGGTGTCAGCTCAGTAGGCTGGAGGGAAGGGTTCCAGAATATATTGTGTAATATTGCCAAACAGGGCTTTGCTGTTGAAATTACTCATTTCACAGAGCTTAGGTCAATGTTAATGTGACAGGGGACATTTAATTCTGTGGGAAGGTGTTTACATCACATGGTTTTAAAAGAAATTTTATCCCCTGAGTCTAAAGGAAACTATGCTGCTTGTATTTGTCTTAATTGTTTTTTAATTTGTGAAAGAAAACTGTACTTTTAATTAATTTCCAAACAAAAGCAAATTGTACACTTTGCTTATAACTGAGTGCACTGGGATGGATCTGCATCAGCAGAGAATATTCACCTATTTTTGTGTAAAGGAAACATATTTCTGAAATAACTGCCAAAATATTAGGGGGGCCCTCCCACCCTATTTATTTCAAAATAAAGGCCAGAAAGTTACAGCAGCTCAGGTCAGGCAGATCCTGCTCTCCTTGATGTCATGGTGTGATGCCATCAAACAGTGCTAGCTTCTGGTGCTCTCCCTTTTGTTTGATAAAATGAAAAACATTTAAAATGTCTCTGGTCTTACCTCATGGAACTATTGCTAGTCCTTTTAATTGAGATTTTGCACCCTAGCTCTGGAATACATATTATTTTCTCATGAGAGCTTCTAATTCCCTTCTATTTGTGAGACAGAGATCTTCACTGGATTTGCAGTACTCAAAAATAATAGAGGGCAACATAATTTATATTTTTGGTTTTTTTAATTGTCCAGATAGTAGATGATGTCATTACCCTGTGTTTGGGCCAAATACGCAATATATACACATCCTAGAGGAAAGATTTGTGCCAAAATTACACCCTTGCCTATAGCAGTGACAAGCCTCAAAAAATATAAAGCTACATCAAAATGAAAAAACTAAAAAAAATAAAACCAAAAAAAAAAGAGCAAGGAAGAAAGATATCTTCTTTTGTTGTATAATAGTGAAGAGATGTATCAAAATCCATAAATTAGGCAGAACTTTAAATCCACATATAATTTCAATTACATACATCTGTTTCTCCTTAGGAAGAATGAAGTGAGGTCAACAACTAAACATTTTACAGCCGTCAAGATTCTGGGATGCTTTTAAAGCTATATACATGTGTGATTTGTAAGAAACCTATTTATATGTAAAATTTCTCATTTGAACATTCATTCTTTTTATTATGCAAACACAATTTTTTTTGGAAGCTCCAGGCTTGGAAGTGAAGTGAATGCACGTATTTCAGCCCAATGGTATTGCTCTATTTTTTTTTTTTTATTTTAACCCCCTGATGTTTCTGTTACCATGAAGAAAAATATCTGTTTAACTTTCAGATCTGCAGATAGTAGGGAATACATGGGACATAGATTTTCCTTCAGAAAAGTATGTAAAAGGTTTCTGAGTTCTTTGACAAAAATAAAAATTAAAGGCTTAATGGAGGTTTTTGAGAGAAGATGAGCAAGGGAGGAACATTATATGCTGGGACTCAAGGTAGAACATTTTTGAAATCTTTGAATTATATGCAATTTCATGTATTTGAGTGGCAGTTCCTGTGGTTCTCTCACCCAGTACCAGGCACAGCCTTGAACAGAGCCCGGCTCATTCAGCAGAACATAATTTTAACAGTAATATTAATGAAGCTGATAACTTTACTGATAAGATTTATAGAAACACAGAACAAAAAGGAAATACATTTTACATTCATCCCAAATATAGGGTATAATGTATTGACCCTCCTCAAGCTTGCAGCCTTTTTGAATTCCTCAAATATTAAAAAGTGAGCAAGGACTTAAGTAAGCTTGCTCAACAATAAATCAAACAAGAAAGCAGAATCGCTTGGAATGCATAATCATAAAACCTTAATGCATAAAATAAAGAGCAAAATACTGACCTAAATTGTTAATAACAGGAAAAGTCTGTTAATACCTGTTGTATAAACCCCTAATCTTTACAGTTGTTAACAGAAACTGGAGTGCATGCATAAAAACCATCTCTTCACAGCAATACTGTTATCCACATCAATCAAGATAATCCCACAGTAAAACCTTGCTAAAGAAGAGATGTGGCATGTTTGGATAATGTCAATGATTAGAAAACATGTCCCAGAAAATGCCATGCAAAACAAGTTTAAATATTAATGCACACCTTCCTAGCCCTTTTCAAACTGAGTCTCAAATTATTTACGTGGACCTCAAGGGCTGAAATCTGATTTCACTTCCAGATGTGAAACAAACAGAAGTTTCGGTGTGCTTGAAAGCAAAAGTGTAATTTTGTACCATAAAACTTCACAGCTATTATTTTTGGTTTTTTTTTCACAAAATATGAATTTTCTCTCTTCACAAGGGTGAATTGAGTCACAGAGCAGGGACGTGATTGATTGAATGTGAACACAGCACATCTTGTTATCTCTTGCTACCACTTCCTCCTTCATGGCTCAAGGAAACCCATGCTGCTGGTTCAAATTCATTCCATCTTAGGCTGACAATGCATTTGATCACAGCTCATCAAAGAGGACAATTTTGTTCTTTAGCCCACACCATAAATTGTGCCTGGAAGATTTTCTTAGGGTGTATGGTGGGTTCTGGAGAAATCATTGAAAAAGACAGAATTACACACTAAACCCCTGTGAACAATCATGTCCTTATTTTCTGCTCTAGATTGATGGTAATTGAATATGATTTGCAGGTTGGCATTCATAGACTGCTAATCACTTGGGAAAATACAACACATTGAGCTCTCAAGTGTTGTTCTGCTGTTGTTTTTCAGGGCAATCAAAGAATTGGCTCTCCTTGTGTGCTTTTGAGGAAGGTGGTGTTGAAATAAATATGTAAGTGAAACAGAATTAGTTCAGCTAATTTTAGAGAGGTAGAGTTTAAAAGTCTGGATCTTAGCTGGTTCTTGTGATTTCACAAATCTGGAGTATGCTGTCTTGTAAAATGCCTTTTTCTGTCCACAAATTTAGCAGGACCTTCTTAGCAGACTCAGGTGAGTATGTTGTAGCTATCCAAAGTTAAAGGAATGGGTGTGGCCTAAAGTTTAATTGAAAATAAGGCACCTTTCTGCAGAGCTTAGCAAAATTGGGGCTTTTTGAACTTTCTGGAGCAGTGCAATAGTCAAACCTTACAGAAACCAACCGGCATGGGAGAAACACAAAGGAAAGCATGAACATAGAGTAGAAGTAAGGTTCACACTAATACATAAAAATTGTGTGAAAGTCTGTGTTTCAATAAGAAGGTGGTCAGGTTTGTAAATGGAACTCATCAATATTATAATTTTTGAATGAGAAGGCTCACAAAGAGCAGAATTCATTTTTCAAAAAGGCCTCAGTTCAATTCAGCTGCATGAAATGCTGTGTGGATTTAAGGATACAGCTGAAAACCTGAATGATCAGCTGGGTAGCCTTACCAAATGAGAAAGAAAGTGTGAGGAAGTACACCATGCTAAAACACATCTTTAATAAAGGCCTGCATGGAAAGACCACATGTAGGAAAGAACTTGGCTTGTTTTGTTTTTTTTAGGTTTTAGTTTTTAAAGTAGAAGAAATATATTATCTCTGACCTCCTTTCTGTGAAGGAAAAAAAAAGTAATTAAAAATTATTTTATGATAATTTAAAATAAAAAATAAGATATTATTTGGTACAGAAATAAGCATCCTACCTGTAGAGCTTCTCAACTGTGATTAAATTGTTTAATTGTTTTTAAAACCTCCAAACAACTGTGACCACATATTTGTGGCGCACCTTAAGCACAAAAGAGAGGGAACAGATTCTGGCAGTGGACTGAGCTGTAGGAATGCTGCTTTCTATTTGTGGTTCTTTCTCTTTATGTTAAACATTTATGAATAGCATGTGCTTGACCTAGATGGCTGCAGAAGGACGTGGGAGCCCCATATCTTCAAGAACATCCAAAATCTGGAGGTTTGCTTGTGTGGGCCTATGCTGATCAAATATAACCCCTTCTAATAAGTGGGAGTGGACATGGAAGATAAATCATGCCTCATTCTGTCATTGTTCTTTTGAGCTTTTTTAAAGCTTGTTCTTCTGGGCTTTTTTAAAATCCATGCTGGCCTCATGTTGGCTTTTTTTAAATCCCTGTTGGCCTCATGTTGGCTTTTCTTAAATCTGTGTTCAATGGACCTGGGGCCACCAGGTGGCATCTGCCCATGTTATTGAACACTTCCAACATCCAGAAGTGGATGGATTGCATCCAAAATGCCCATGGGCAGCACATGTAACCTAGTGGGCTGCACTGCAGATATCCAAAAAGTGCCAGGTTACTGCACCAAAGGTGTGACAAGAGCAATTTTAATGGTTTAATAACTGCAGAGAGAGAAATTCTTGTGAGTAGGAATGGTTTTGGCTCCTGAGTTTACTGGAATAGCTGTGTGCTGGTGAGCTAGGATTTCTGACAGTATGCACAGAAAGTTCGTTTAGGAAGCTAAGCACTTATGAAATGAGAATTTTTATTTTTTTTTAACTTGAGTGTCAGTGTTCCTTAATCATAGTAATTATCAGCTGTGATGATTAATGCCTGGTGTAAAGGTGAGCTGGAGCATTATGAGTAATGGAAGTATTTACAAGACATGGATGTTACCAAATATATGAGGATTTATTTCCTCTGAGAAAACAGAGAACACAACATCTACAAGAAAGAGGGTCACAGGGAGAGCAGTAAAAATAAAATGACTTTTAATTTGTCACTACAAAGGTGGCTGTGAACAATTTACTTAGGGGAGGAATAGAACTCACGTTTATTCAAGGAATAGGTCTGAACCGTGCATTTTTTCATAAAGTTGTGATTAAATTTTAGAACTTGGTTCCAGATGAATGGCACATAGGCAGTTCAGGAAATCCTTACACTTCTGACTGCCAAGAGCAGTGATGTTTGCTAAGCAGGACCAGTCTGTCCTCACCTTGTTTCTCCCATGTGCCCACAGGCTGCAGTTGGAGGCAGGATTTAGCTGCTTTGCTCTAACCCAGCATGACTGTTTCTACTTTTCTGTAGCCCAGATCATGTGTGTGGACAGCTTAGAAAGGAATGGGCAGCATTTGTTGGCAGCATGTTATTCTTTTCCTTTATCACTCTCTTGTCAGCAGCCCTGAGATGGTTTTAGAAGTCAACAGAGCAAAGGAAGCGTTGCAAGAGGCATTGGAGGGGAAGTTATGACTCTAAAGCGTTTGTTTGCCTCATTATGCTAATTTCTCCATTATCTCTGGGGTAGTGCAGCATCTTGATCCAGGTGAATTTCCATTCAGCTCTTCATTCCATTGTTCATGGGTTCCCACTGTAAAACCAGGGCGCTGCCGTGAGAAGGAGAGATGGGAAATACACTGTGAGATGCCCAGCTTGTGTCACACTAAAGGCCATCAAATTCTCCAGATGCAGTGCCAAAATAAACTGTCAGGGAATAAATCATGCAGCCCAGCCAGGGATTAAACCATGCATCCCAACATTTACAAGCAGCAAAAGCAGAGATTTTCAGGCTCATACCTGAGTAAGTGCAGCGGGATTGCTGCTGACACAGCGAGGCTCTGGAACTCCCACGTACATCACTGCACACCGGGCAGATTTGTCACCTCTGTGCTTTTGGGCGCTCCAATTTTCACTCAGGAACCTGTGAAATGTCTGAAGGTAAGAATCCTGCCCTTCAGTTTCCCCAGTTATAAAGTAAAAAAATAATTTTTGTCTTGCCGAATGCTGGGGTTGTTTAAGTTAACTTGAGATTTAAAGACGGAGTGCATCAAAAAAAGCACAAAATGTTTTTAGGTTTGGTAGCTGTGCATTGGTGCACAAATAGTTAAAAGAAAAACTAGTTTTGAGCAAATTCATATGCAATTTCTGTAGACAACTGCCATTATCCTGTGAGGCACAAGTATTGCCAAATTATTAAACTAATTACAGATATTAAACTAAATATCAGTCTTCAAACCCTCTGTTGCCTTTTTTTCTTCCTTTGAAGGCTTTTTATTATTTTTTTATTACTGTGGATACCTATAAAACTTTTAATTTGAATAATTTAGAAATTTGCATTTAATTTTATTATATTTCTTTTCATGTTACTGCAGTGTTGTCTTTGGGCTTTTAATTGATTTTTTTTGTTATTGTCAAACACTTTGAAACTTCTGAAATGAAGTGCATGAAAAGAATAAGTAATAACCCAGTCTTAAGAGAAAACCAGCAATATTTTATTAAAGAGAATCTTTCATAGAATTAAATCCTCTGATTTTAGTATTTTTTTTAGCAATTACAATAGCGTTTGTAGCAGGTCTTATGGAAGTAATGTATCTGCATCTATAGAGCAGGCATAGAAAATGCTGCAAATACATGCCTTTGATCTAAATGACAGAAATAAATTTGCTAGGGACACGGTAGAATTAAGCATGTTTAAAGTGACCCATATTGCTTGAAGTGCAGGTAGAGTATTTCTCCTTTTGATCAGACCATTTGATTTACAGCATAAATAAAATTAAATTCTATGCATAATACATGTAATATAATTTGGCACATTAACTCTTACAGATGGAGGTTAATATTTTATCTAATTTTTTTAAAATTTTTTCCTGTTCTGCAGTTAAATTTATCACGAGACTGCAGGCATGACTTGCTGCTACACATGGACACGAACAATTAAGTTTTCAGTCAGGACTACAGGGAGAGACTCCAATCCAAGTGCACTCACTAAGCCTTTTGGTAGCTGCATTGATAAGGCAGGAAGAAGTTCATGTGCAAGAAATCTGAAGTGAAGGTGCAAATCTCATGCTTGGCGGGTATTTTGTTATCTAGGAATAAGTTGATCCTGAGTGGCATCAGAGAAGCTTTACTCTCAGTGTTTCTGCTTCTTTTAAAATTGTTCTAAATCTTTTGGACCCTTATCATTACAGGGAACTCAAATTTGTTAATGTTGTGATTTGAGTTACCGCTCCAGAAGGTTTTAAGCAATTTTTTAGAAACTGTTCATTAATATTCAAAGCTTTTTAAGAAAAGTCATAGACTTGTGTCTAATATTCAATAAGACACATTTGTGTTGCTTTTTATAGATCTGGGAGTTGGAGATGTGCTTTCTAGTTTAAAGCAGTCACAAATGCCTTAAATCATTATGATAAAATTAGAATATTGAAAATACCATCAAACTGGTGTTCGTTTTTTTCCCACATATCCAAAGGCTCTATGATTCTAAAATAAATTGCATATAAAATAATGATGCAATCAGTAAATTTTTTTCAGTTAATCATTAGCTGCTGTAATTGATTTTGAGCACAGCATACTGCTATGTGTACTCCTTGTTTGAATAGCACAAGGGTTGGCAGTCTGGGTTCCTACAGAGCTATGGTATTTTAAACTCCCTTGAGAAGGGAGGCAGACTAAATCTATGATGACTATTGAGTGAAATCTGACATGTTTAAAGAAGATGCTTCCATTGTCTGACCTTTCACTTTCTGGTAAATTCTGAACTACTTCTCACCTATTGAGGTACCCAGCATGTAGAGCTCCCACACAACACTGTCAGATTATGGAGCTTTCCTTCTATTCATTTTATCACAGCACTCACAGCACTTTGGGGTTGAGATTAAACACTTGTGTTAGAAGTATTCAGGCTTTTTATGTAGCCTTCAAGACCTGGATGCTGCCCCAGGGGATAATTCAGGAGAGGAATCTCTTGTGACCAGCTGTCTAAAAATCAGTATTTTAGCCTTCCGAGTCCAACTTCATGCTTAACTAAATGGCTTTGTTGGGTTGCATTCAGAATATTATTCCTCCACAAATTCCAGTGCTAAGTGTGCTCAAGGGAGTGGGGACAGCAGCAGTACCAGTCTGAGTTTGCTGCGA